CTCCTCCTCCTCCTCCTCCTCCTCCTCCTCCTCCTCCTCCCCCTCCTCCTCCTTCTAAGAAGGCTCGGAAGTCCCCCGGCCTTCTGAGAAGTTTTCTGGGCCTTCCCCGGGGACGCAGAAGACTTTGTCAGAGGTGCGAGGGCTTCTGAGGAGTCCCGCCGCCTTTGAGATTGCCTTCTTCTTCTTCTTCTTCTTCTCACGTCACCCCCTCGCTCGCCCCCGAATAGTACAAGGGGGGTCACAATCCTCCCAGACGAGCAATTGTAGCCCCCCCAGACCAGCCGTGAAAGGGGGCGGACTTCTGCCCAGACCCCCCCGGAATCTCCAAGGCAGCTCGAATCAGACCCCCACAAAACAGTTTTTGATCTGCGGGGCGAGAGCGAACCTCTTCCGCTAAAAGCTAAGCGGGCTACGCACAGCTTTAATTAGGGAGACAGGGCACAGGAAGGCGGGGCCTCAGGCGGCACCCCCCCACAAAACAGACCACACCCTTTTATCATGAAATTCGGAGTGCCCTCGCCGATCCATGCTTCGGGCAACTTGATGGGCGGCGGGGGTAGGGCTGGGAACTCGTCAAGCACGTGGCGAAAAGCCCTGCCCCCGCCTCCCACCGAAGATGGTTCAAGATAGCTTGCGACATGCCTCCAAGAGGCCCGACGAGGGAGGCAAGGAGGCTCCAAGTGCCCTCGGAGCCCCCTCAAGACCCCTCAAAGAGGCCAACATCCTTTGAACACCCAAGGAACATTTTTCCACGGGTCCCGCCGAGGACCAGCAGGCCAGGTATCGGCAGCGCTATAATATCAATGCCATCCGAGCTGGCAGGCGCCCTGAGACAGGAAAGAAGCTGGCCTAAACTTTGAAGGCTCAGCAGGGCCCAATGTTGGCCTGTGCTCCTGCAACTCAGTTGCACGACATGTCTCATCGCGCCAACATTGCAGAGCGGATTTCGTCCGGAAAATGATAGTATGGGCCCAGAGTGTCCTGGAGAATTCGTTCCGGATTTCGAGGTGAATTTCGTGCGTTTTTTTGGCCAGGAATGAAGACCCAAAAGCATCCACGCGAAATTCACCTCGTGTTTCGCTCGCCGCTTCGGACAAACATCCGCGCTGGAATCCACGCAGAAATTCGCTGCAGCACGTCTGCAAGGCCGGTGCAACGAATCGGTGGCCTGTGCTCCTGCAAGGCAGTTGCGCGACAGGTCATCGGCGTTGCCTCGCACTCGATGGCCGGCGGGGGCAGGGCCTGGATGTCGTCGCCCGACCCCCGACGTCCGAGCTGACGGCTCCCCTCGCCGCCCGGCGCCCCTTCGCCCGCGCTGACGCCTCGCCCAGACTCCCGCCGCGTTTTTTGTTGTTTTGGTTGTTGCTGTTGAGGTTTAGTTGCGAAACAATTATTCGTGTTGGACCCCTTAAGGGCGCCCGGGCGCTCTCGCCGAGGCGCCGGCTACATTTTCATTGAAATGAGGCTCACGCTCGAGCGGTCCGGCCCCCCAGCAACAACGCTCCCGCTCGAGGCTTCCTCCTTTTTCACTCAGGGCTGGTGTTCTTGCTCGCAGCCGAAAGCCGCCGTCCCAACAAAACCAGCGCTCCCGCTCGAGATTTCCTTCCGTTTTACGCTGGACTGGTGCCCTACTCTCTTTTGAATTGGCGCCGCTCCCAGCACGAACAACGCTCCCGCTCGAGGCTTCCTCTCTTTTTCCTCGGGACGGTGCTGTTCCTCGCCGCCGACAGCCCCCGTCCCGTCAAAACCACGGCTCCCGCTCGAGGCTTACTCCCTTTTTTACTCGAGGCGGTGCTCCTCCTCGCCGCCGAAAACCGCCGCCCCGACAAAACCAGCGCTCCCGCCCGAGACTTCCTTCCGTTTTACGCTGGACTGGTGCCCTACTCTCTTTTGAATTGGCGCCGCTCCCGGCACGAACAACGCTCCCGCTCGAGGCTTCCTCTCTTTTTCCTCGGGACGGTGCTGTTCCTCGCCGCCGACAGCCCCCGTCCCGTCAAAACCAAGGCTCCCGCTCGAGGCTTACTCCCTTTTTTACTCGAAGCGGTGCTCCTCCTCGCCGCCGAAAACCGCCGCCCCGACAAAACCAGCGCTCCCGCCCGAGACTTCGTTTTGTTTTACGCTGGACTAGCGCCCTGCCCTCGTCAGCATTGGCGCCGCTCCCAGCAACAACAGCAGCCCTGCTCGAGACTTCCTCCCTTTCTATTCAGGGCCAGGTCCTTGCCTCACCGCCGACAGCCCCCATCCCCACCAAGGCAATCCTGTCGTTCGATACTTCCTTGTGCTTTACCCTTTGCTGGTTTCCACTGGCGGTCTCGCATCGGCGCAGCAAGGCGCGGGCATGTGTTTTCGAGGCGGGATATGTTGAAATTCCTCGGAGGAGGTGTTTGCAAGACCTCATTCGGCGGGAGATCTTGGAATGGGAATAAAAGACCCCGCTATAGAACAAGAGTCCCCCATGATGCGGATGGTTATCATGATGGTCGCATGTTTCGTGCGGAAACATCGCGCATGAGGGTAAAATGGTTGTTGTTGTTGTTGTTGTGGTTGTGGTTGTGGTTGTGGTTGTGGTTGTGGTCGTGGTCGTGGTTGTGGTTGTGGTTGTGGTTGTGGTTGTGGTTGTGGTGGTGGTGGTGGTGGTGGTGGTGGTGGTGGTGGTTGTTGTTGTTGTTGTTGTTGTTGTTGTTGTTGTTGTTGTTGTTGTTGTACTTTAACTTTTGAAGAGCAATTGAAGTTGATCCCCCCCTCCGGTGCACATCGTTTTTTTTGCAGTTGATGTGCCCCTCCCGGCGCTCGCACCTTGTTTTTATCAGGGAAGGTCTTCCTCCTCAAACTGTGCCCCTGGCCTCCGGTTTACAATAACAACGGCTCCCGCTTGATACTTCCTCGGAATTTACCCTGGTCCCCCGCTCCCGCTTGAGACTTCCTCGCAATTTACTCAAGAATCGCACTCCCGCCTGAGAATTCTTCGCAATTTCCTCCGGCGCCGCGCTCTTGCCATTCAGGAACTGCGCGTTCGCTGGGGACGTCGTCAAATTTACTTCGGAATCGCTCTCTCGCTGGACACTTCCTGTCTAATCACGTAAACTCACGATCGATCCGCCCGCTCGGCCTGCCCGTCAGGGTCATGCCCTTCGTGCCCCATGCTCGCTCGCGCCTTTTGTGCCTCATTGCTGCCCTTCGTGGCCCCTCCCCTTGTGGCCCAGTCGCTGCCTTTCGTGGCCCCGATGCTGCCCTCAGTGGCCCCTCGCTGCCCTTTGTGGCCCATATATACGCCCTTCTTGGCCCCCAGTCGCTCGTGCCCTCAGTGGCCCCATTGATGCCCTTCGTTGCTCCAGTGTAGCCCCGTGGCCCCCCCCCCCCCGCTGCCCAATGTGGCCCCCTCGTTGCCCTTTGTGGCCCATATGTTCGCCCTTCGTGGCTCCCAGTCGCTCGTGCTCTCAGTGGCCCCGTTGTTGACCTGCGTGTGCCCCTGTCGCTCTCTCTCTCTCTCTCTCTCTCTCTCTCTTCTCTCTCTCTCTCTCTCTCTCCTTTCTCACTCCTCTTGCTCTTTCAGGGGCTGCGCCCAATACACGTGGCAGGTCTGGAAGATGTACCCCCCAGAGGGGGTACGATCGAAGACGAAGAGGGCGGGTATCGGGGGTTTGGGATATACGTCGTGAGGTACGCGCGGGCAAGTAAGAGCGAACAGTCTGAAACTGTTTGTTGTTGTTGTTGTTGTTGTTGTTGTTCTTGTTGTTGTGGTTGTGGTTGTTGCTGTGGTTGTTGTTATCGTTGTTGTTGCTATTGTTGTTGCTGTTGTTGTTGTGGTTGTGGTTGTGGTTGTTGTTGTTGTTGTTGTTGGTGGTGGTGGTGATGATATTGTTGTCGTGTTGTTGTTGTTGTTGTTGTTGTTGTTGTTGTTGTTGTTGTTGTTGTTGTTCTTTTGTTGTGATTGTTGTTGTTGTTGTTGTTGTTGTTGTTGTTGTTGTTGTTATTGCTGCCGTTGTTGCTTCTTGTGTGCATATGTTTATGTATGTATATATATATGTATCCATCACGACGCGGGCCCCAGGGCTCTCGACTTTTTTGGGGTGGGTGGGGGTGGCGTCGCAGATGGCTCACAACAGGTTTCTAGAGGCCCAGACACAGGAACGAGCAGGGCCAGTGGAGTCTCCTGTTGTTCGACGCCTTGAAGGGTCTGGATCTTTCCGGAGCTCCGCCGATCTGATTTTTAGAGTCGCCTTGCCCCGGAGCCCTCGACCCTTTCCCCTGGGGTTGGCCATTGATGCTGAGTAGTTTTTTGAGGATCTTGGGTCAGGGGCACTGTTAGCGGGGGATAGGCTCGGGGGGATGCATCGACCCCCAATCGCCCATGCATCGCCCAGAGGGGCCTGATTGTCCACCCCGCCCAAGAGCGTGCGGTGTCGCTATCAGGGCCTACCGCCGATCGGCGATGTATCGCAGGTTCCAGCTAGCTTGATGCTGCCCCCGTGAGTCGGCCCCTCTCCCGACGTTCCCCCCCATCACTGGGGCCCCGAAGCGGCCCCGAGACGCCGAAAATAATGAAACACTCCCAGCGAAACTTCCAAGTCGTCAAAGGTCTGGGTCCACCACCTCTGAATCGACTCCTGGACATGTCATGGGGTACGTTCTGATCAGAGGATCCAGCCGTGGCGACGAATGGTGCCCTAGGCGGTACAAAACGGTTCAAAATCGTCTACACCTCCATCCTCGATTGTCACTAAACGTCCAAGCGTCAATTCTGAATCTTCGGGTTGCCTTTTGACGTCCGGCCCAGAGGACGGGACGCTGGCGGAGTACGTGCATATCGCTCCTGGCAGCGCCTCCGCGGCGGGCATCTGTGTGGGTAGCCAAGTGCAGCGAGGACCCCACCCGCCACGCCCTCCATCGTGTCAGGCGTCCCGGGCCTGGAGAAGCGAGGAGGAGGAGGAGGAGGAGGGGGAGGAGGAGGAGGAGGAGGAAGCGAGTCGCAGGTGATTTCTGGTCCCCAATCTCCGAATTTCCCCACCCAAACTCGTAACCAGCGCGGACACAAAACAGTGATTCCTAGCAAATTAGGTCATGCAATCTACGTGGGGCAAGCTATGTGGTGCAAGCTATGTTGTATAAGTTATGTGGTGCGAGCTGTGTGGTGTAAGCTAGATTGTGCAATCTACGTGGTGCAATCTATGTGGTGCGGCTAATTTTGAAACACTTGGAGTTGTCAACTCCATTGCACTCGCAACCATCCCTCCCACCCGCTCGCAATTTGGTTTGCAAAACACATGCGCCGGCGATTGCGATGAGTGCTTGGCGTTGACTGGTGCATCCTTGCGGCCGCGCTAGCCCGCGCATGCTCGCGCGCACAGCGGTCAGCTAGTGTGGCGCGACCGCCGCGGCCGCTTTGGCGCCGACTGCTGGGCACTTCCCAGCGGGCATGTCAGTGCGAATCGGTGACTGAGGCGGTCGCGGTCAACGGTAGACACGATGATGGTAGTAGCGACTGTGGTGACGATGATGACGATGACGGCGGCAAGGCCAATGACGGCGCCGATGCTGATCACGCCGATGACGATGACGGTGCCCTCACGTCGGTGATGAAGGTTTTGGAAAGAGCCCGACATGCGCGAACTGCCGACGCGCTCGAGTGGCTTGCATGGTATTATTGTGCTGTCCCCGGGCCAGTGCCGCCGATCCGGGGCGCTCCAGATGATGATGCTGCTGATGATGATGATGATGATAATGATGATGATGATGATGATGATGGTGGTGGTGATGATGATGATGATTCTGATGATGCTTATCATGGTAATTGCCATGAGGGCGTCTTGGGTGTCTTGGACCGATCGTTCGGTGATTCGGGGCTGTCTTGGGCCGTCTTGAGGGCCTCTCGGGGCCCTGTTGGCCCATCTTTGGCTTCTCTTGGGCTCGAAAAAGACATGCGGAAACATACTGGGGGGCCCAGTGGGCGCGCGGGGAGCCTCAAGAGGTTTGAGAGCTGGGGGTCTGGGCCCATTAAGAATCCTCAGGCTTGAGGACTGAGACTCAGGGGATTGAGCAAGGGACCAGGGGAAGCCTTTTGGGGGTCGTTTTGGGGCCTCTTGGGGCTTCTTTCGGTCCTGTTGGGGGCCTTATGGGGCCTCCTGGGGGCTTCTTGGGGGCCCGTGGGCCCCCCCTGCCCCCGAGCACTAGATGCGTCGGGAATGGCGTCCCCCCCCGCCCTTCTAGAGCCTCCTGGGGGTTTCTTGGTGGCCTGTGGGCCCCCCCGCCCCCGAACACTAAATGCGTCGGGGATGGCGTCCCCCCCCCCCCGTGCAGAGCGAAGCTTGCGCGAGTTCAATTCCACGCTTCCAGAAACTTGCACGCCGGATCGGCGGATTTGATAGGGATCGTGCCCCCCAGCGCTCGCGCAAAGGCGTTCGAATGATTTCGACTTGCGGCGAGAGAGGCCAATTTGGTCGAACTTGGTGAACATGTTGAACAACTTATGATTCTGTTAAGAATTCGCGTAAGCGCGCAGATTTACTTACCATTTTCCCTGGGTGCTCGATGTTGAAGTCCTTGCGAAACCCAGTCTGTTGAAGGATTTCGGCATACGAGCGCGACGACGCGCGCGTGTGCACTTCGTTCCACTTTTTGTAAGAGTTCTTGAACATCTATAGTTTTTGATAATCGACTGTGCGCGCGTAGGGTTTTTGCAAGAGATGAGGCGGGTGTGTCAATACAGGCCCGGTTGGGATGGTGTGAGTTCATAGTTAGAATGAACGATGGACGATGGGGCAGAGTCATATGTAAATTCCAATGCGAAAAAGGCTGTCGGATAATTCCGTGTCGGTGGTGGTGGTAGATCAGATTTTTGGAAGGCGAATCGTAGGATTTGCTCACGGTGGTGCAATCAATGTGGTGCGATCTATGTGATGTAAAGTATGCAGTGCAATCCAATCGTTGCAATATATGCAGTGCGCTTTGTGTGTTGTGGGCTTTTCCGTGTAAGCTACGTGGTGCAATCTATGCGGAGCCAGCGTGCTCATCTAGGTGGTGTGAGCAATGTGGTGTGAATTATGTGATGCAGTCTATGTGGTCCGATCGATGGGGTTTGAGCTATGTCGTGCAAACTATGTGGTGCAATCCATGTGGTGCGGTCCATGCGGTGTAAGCTATGCCGTGCAATCTAAGTAGTGACAGTTTTGGATTGTAATTTTTCAAGCAAACATCCCACCCACCCACCCGCAACGTGGTTTGCAAAACACATGCGGTGGCGACTGCGATGAGTGCTCGGCGTTGACTGGTGCATCGTTGCGGCCGCGCCAACCCAAGCACGCCCGCGCAGCGGCCAGCTAGTTTGGCGCGGCCGACGCAGCCGCGGTGGCGCTGACCGCCGGGCACATCCCAGCCGCCACTTCACTGCGAGTCGGCGACTTGAGCGGGCGCGGTATCATGGCAACGTCGACAACAGCAGACACGACGATGATAGTAGCGATGTTGGTGGCGATGTTGGCGACGACGACGGCGCGGCCAGTGACGGCGCCGATGCTGATCACGTCGACGACGATGACGGCGTCCTCGCGTTGATGATGAGTGTTTTGGAAAGGGTTCGACATGCGCGCGCGGCCGACGCACGACAGTGGCCCGCATGGTATTCATTGACACGGATCGTGTGCCCCCCAGCACGTGCGCAAGTGCGTGCGAATTTTGCATGCGGCGCGAGAGGACCGTTTGGCAGACTTCCATGGCCATGTTGAAAAACCGACGGTTTCTTTACAATTCGCAAAAGCGCGAGCGCAGTTTTTTGGTTTTGAGTGCTGGTGTTGCGAAGCCATGTGTGTTTTGAACTTGTTTTGGACATTGAAGCCGAAGGGTTTTGACGGATTTCGGTATGCGCGCGACGACGCGTGCGCGCATTTCGTTCAATTCTTTTGCAACGTGATTCTCGCGACAGCACGCGCGCAAAAGGTGGGCGCTCGAACGATTTCGACATGCGCGCGCAGCCCTTTTCGTATAATTTTTTGAACATGTTGAGCAACTTGTGTTTCTGGGCATGTCGCAAAAGCGCGCGCAAGTTTTGTTTTTTTGGGGGGAATCCGTATTGCGAAACCCTGGGCTGTTATATGTTTTTTGGACAGTCGATTTTGAAATCCTTATGAAACCGACGGTCTTTGAAGGATTTTGGCATGCGCACGACGACGCGCGCGTGTGCACTTTGTCTCATTTGTTTTTTTTATTGTTTTGAGAATTTCTGAATTTTTATAAACGAATGCTCGCGCTTAGTCTTTTTTTCCAGAGGATGGCGGGGGGGGCGATACCGGCTCGGCTGCGATGGTACGAACTTTTTTTCAGGATTGACGATGGGGCAAAATCCTATGTACATTGCAATACGAAAAGGTGAGCCGATAATCCCAGGCGGGGGGGGGGATAGTTTTTCCCAACAATCCTGTGGTGTTGGGTCCTCGTTTTGAAATAACTCGGTCCCCGCGTTCTCCTTCTTCTCCTCCTCCTCCTCCTCCTCCTCCTCCTCCTCCTCCTCCTCCTCCTCCTCCCCCTCCTCCCTCCTCACCCTCCTCCCTGCGTTTCACCCACCCAGTACAGCGTTTCGTGGCCCCATAGGGAGCTCCACCGAAGGCCCCGGTGGCAGGGTTCGCATGGCGGCCCCGCGCCGCGTATCCTTCACACGGTTCGTGGCCCCATAGGGAGTTCCACCGAAGGCCCCAGGGGCAGGGTTTGCATGACGGCCCCGCATTTTGGCGCACCCATCACGTGGTTCGTGGTTCCATAAGGAGTTCCACCGAAGGTCCCAGCGGCAGGGTTCGCAGGGCGGCCCGCGCTATTTTGACGCACCCCTCACACGGTTCGTGGCCCCATAGGGAGGTCCACCGAAGGCCCAGTGGCAGGGTTCGCATAGGGGCCCCGCGCCATTTTGGCGCACCCCTCACACGGTTCGTGGTCCTATAGGGAGCTCCACCGAAAGCCCCAGTGGCAGGGCTCGCATGGCGGTCCAGCCCCATTTTGGCGCACCCTTCACACGGTTCGTGGCCCCATAGGGGGCTCCACCTAAGGCCCCAGTGGCAGGGTTCGCATGGCAGCCCCGCCCCATTTTGGCGCACCACTCACACGGTTCGTGGCCCCATTGGGGATTCCCCTTGCTTCGTCCCACCTGCCCTACGGTTCTCACACTTGCGTATGGTTGGGTCCTTCGCCAGGGTAATGGTGAGCCGGTGAGCAATGTGGTGTAAGCTATGTGGTGCGACCTGCGTGCAACCTACGTGGTGTGAGCTGTGATGCGTGAGCTATGCGGTGTAAGCTACGAGGCGCAATCTATGTGGTGCAATTGATTTTTACCCATCATTCCATGCTCTTGCAAACATCCCACCCACCCACCCGTAACTTGGTTTGCAAAACCTCTTAAGACCGACTACGACGACGAGGGAGGAGGGAGGACGACGACGGCGACAACGACGACAACGACGACAACGACGAAGGAGGAGGGAGGACGGCGACGACGCGAACGACGAAGAAGGAGGAAGGACGGCGACGCCGACGACGACAACGACGAGGGAGGAGGGAAGACGACGACGACAACGACGACGACGACGACGACGGCGACGAAATAGGAGGGACGACGACGAGACGCCGACGACGGACGACGACGACGACGAGGGAGGAGGAGGAAGGACGACCACGGCGACAACGACGACGGAAACGACCACGACGCCAAAGAGGACGACGACGACGAACACGAGGAAAGACAGAGGACGACGTAGGCGACGACGACGACGCGGGAGGAGGGAGGACGGCGACGACGACGACGACGCAAGAGCGCGCGCGCACGCTTTTGTTGAAACTCCGTGTTGCGAAACCTTATGTTTTTGTAGGTTTTTTGGACACACG